TGAGTATACTCATACTAAAATAATATTTTTCCTCAATATCATTTTTCTTAAACTCTACTTCATATTTCCTAGTGAGTTTCTCTACTAAAATATCAAATAACTCTTTTTTCAGTTTAGACTTCTCAGTGGCCTACCTAATTGATTTCTCAAATGCAGCTAACAGCCATGTAACCTCTGGTGTCCACCCTGCAGTTATGATTGTGTTATCTATATAGGCCTTCCCTAGGGGGCTGCTCCACCGCTGCTAACATTAGACCCCACCATTCTCTTTCCCAAAGATTTGCTGCACAGACTCACTGGCACTGCAGAAATCAGCACTGTGCAGCCCGCTGGCAGCATGCCTTGTAGCTGCTTTATCTTGCCATTTTGTAAATACTATTATAAAGTTAATGTATGTATGATCATCAGTTTTTTTGTTTGTTTGTTTGTTTTTCTGGTTTTTTGTTTTTGTTTTTACTATTTTCAGCATATCACTAGTATTTGCATCTGTTTCTTCCTTTTTTTATTCTTTTCGAACTTATTTTGAAAGCAGTTTCTGAAATACAAAGCAGATAAGACAGAAATAATTTTCTAAATGTCTTTTTCCCCTCTTTTTCTTTTTTGGTAGAGATTCAACTTGAACATAATTTTAGATTTCAAGGAGATCTGCACTCATCTGAAGGCTGGGTCAAATGGGCTCTTTATAAGTCAATTTGGATGGACTGTTTGAATCATGGGTATAGGGACATGGAGGGAAAGAGAGTGGAACTGGTGCAAAAAACAAGATGACTGTGTTCACCAAGAGGGCTTCATAGAGAAATAATATGGCTTCACCCCTGTCTCCACTGGCCTATCTCCTGTGCACTCAGGCCTGACTCTTGAGAAAACAACAGAATAAATTTCATTACTCTATCACTCCCATGGACTCTGAGAGCACTGTCTCACCACTGGTGGAAGTCTTATGGCTAAAGCAAGCTTGGCAATTGCAGATGGCTGAGGTACAGATGATGGCAGTAGTATTGTTGCCTGCAGTAGCTAGGCTGGCAATGGAAGTGATCTCTTTAGGACCAACACTAGAGAAAATGTGAGTTATTGGCAAAGGTATCCAAGATTCTGGCCTTAGGCAACAGCAACCTTCACTTGGCTTCTGTGAGTTTAAGCAGCACACTGGAAACCTATGCAGACACTGGTGTGATCCCTTTAGTTAATAGGAAGCAATATTAAAATGAGCCAGCAGAGAAAAATAGGAGAAGATTCATATTCCACAATTAGGAGGTAGTTCCTAATATGATGTCCCTGTGGAAATCCCAATAATCAATTTAGAGACAGAACTTCTAGGGTTCCTAGATATGAATGGAACTCAGGGAAGGTCAGACAGAGAAATACAATGGTTGGCACTCTCATTCTACAGTTACCTCAAGTTAGGGTACTGGTAGGTACAAATGTTAAGCTATCCTTTACCAGAAAAGAAAAATATATGTATTTTCATGGGTGCCTGACATCACACTGTCTTAGGTGGTAATGTCTTTTGACCAGTAATTGGAATCACATCTTTCCTGTGGAGAAATTCTTAGAAATACTACAAAATAGAAAGCACTCAGCAGTCATCTGCTATCTTAAAGATCTGAGAATAAGTCAGAAGAAAATATTGAACTCAGTAGGAGTGATGAAATTTATTATGAAATGAGGAATTTAGATACACCAATTGTAGTATTACCATGGTATTTATTAACATAGCACAGTGGTTAGGCAGTTGAGGTAGAGGCCAAGGAAGTGCTACTAGAAGGAAGGAAAGAGCCCTTCCCAGTGTCTACAGCTGGAAGAGATATTGTTAACAGATGGTAAAGAATCTGTCTGCAATAAAGGAGAACTAGGTTCAGTCCCTGGGTCGAGAAGATCCCCTGGAGAAGAGAATGGCACCCCACTCCAGTATTCTTGCCTGGAGAATTTCATGGACAGAGGAGCCTGGCAGGCTACAGTCCATGGGGTAGCAAAGAGTTGGACACGACTGAATGACTAACAGTTTCACTTTCATGACAAAAATTATTCTTAGCTATGTACTTACTCTTTGCTAGTTTTCTCTCAACTTTCTTAAGTTCCACATCTTCCTTTAATTTTTTTTTTTTAATTAGTTTGCTGGAATACCAGTTTTAGAATTTCTTTCAGGCACAGCTTTAGTCAGGTAAATTTTTTGAATCTTCACTTTTCTGGAAAAGGCTTTGCTTTGCCATGTCATTTTAATGCTAGTTTGACTATATATAAGATCCTAAGTTTGAGAGAAAATAATTTTCTCTCAAGACTTTGAAGATATTGACATTAAGAATGATTTTCTGACTCTCCTTTATTTATTCAGATTTAATCTCACTTATGCATATTTTCCCACATAAGAAAATAGGAGATACAGTGGCCTCTTTCTTTGATATATATATATAAATATATATAAACTTTCTGTAACTTCCTTGGCCCTCCTCCACCATCCCTTTACTTTGAATGGTAGATATTAACAGGAGAAGCATATCAAAATTCTCAGAAATGTTAAATAAACCTGGAAGCTATGTCAAAACAGAAGTTAAAAGTTCTGGAAGTAAAAGTGAAAATTGCTCAGTCATGTCCAATTTTTTGTGACCTCACAGTCTATACAATCCATAGAATTCTCCAGGCCAGAATACTGGGGTGGGTGAAAGTGAAAGTGAAGTTGCTCAGTCGTGTCTGACTCTTTGGGACCCCATGGACTGTAGCCTACCAGGCTCCGCCCTCCATGGGATTCTCCAGGCAAGAATACTGGAGTGGGTTACCATTTCCTTCTCCAGGGGATCTTCCCAACTCAGGGATGGAACTCTGGTCTCCTGCACTGCAGACAGACACTTTAACCTCTGAGCCACCAGCCTTTCCCTTCTCCAGGGGATCCTCTAAACTCAGGGATCAAACCCAAATCTCCCGCATTGCAGGCAGATTCTTTACCAGTTGAGCCGCAAGGGAAGACCAAGAATACTTGAATGGGTAGCCTTAAAAAAAAACGACCGTTAAAGCTATAAAAAGTACTGTCTTATTTGGATGAGGGATTGGGAAGAACAGAGACAAATGTTAAATCATAGGACAATCCCACAGGTGGAAATGAAAGAGCTTTTCTTTTGTACATGTGATAGCTCATGGTCTTCTTCTCCTCTATTCTATGGACATAGTGACACTCATGTTTGCCTGATCAGGTAAAGAATCATCTGTAATAAGCGATGCGTTGTGTTTATTTCTCCAGCAACTCATTTTCTCTAAAGAAGCTTCAATCTCAACTTTGATGATTTATTTATGGTACAAAAGTTTATTTTACTATGACACTCTAGAAGCTTTACACATGTGAGTATATAATGATTCATGTTTTAAATATTTTTCTCAAATTATTAGAGGTATCTGGCACTTAACAGAACTGTATGCAGAAAGCAACTTTTGAATTTAAATATTATCAAATATCTATATTTGTCCATTTTTAAAATCTATATTGTTTTTGCTATAATACATCTTGAGTATAGAAACAGTTTAAAAAAATAAGATCTAAACAAGAAGAAAATACAAATCTCTGGTATTCTATTATCTAGAAATAGGCACTACAGTAATTTGGTATGTATATTTTCCATTATTTCTCTAAGCCTAATGTAGTAAGTTTTGAAGACAGGATGCTTATTTCATGGCAGTGTGTTTTAAAACTGCATTTGAAATCATGTTTTCCTTTATGTTCTGTTCACTTCCCTAAATCTAATTTTAGTTTTGGGTAAATGAGTTTTATACTATAGTATTATGTAAAGAAAAGGGATTTTTTATCTCATCTACTCTGAATCCAATTTACATCAGGAAAGTCTACCCTATATATAGTTTCCATAGGGTAGAGGAGGAAAAGTTTCATCAGCTATTAACACATGGACAAGGAACACTTCTTTTTCAGATGCTTCTCTGCTTACGTGCCCTGGATGTGGCAGTGACTAAGTTTGTCTCTGTCCTTGCTTCTTATAGCGTGGCCCAAGAATGGAAGCCCAATAGCATGAAAATCACTTGAGGTCTTGTTAAAACTGCAGAAGTGAAGTGATGACAGTGAAGTGAAGTTGCTCAGTCAAGTCTGACTCTGTGACCCCATGGACTGTAGTCTGTCAGGCCCCTCCATACATAGGATTTCCCAGGCAAGAGTACTGGAGTGGATTGCCATTTCCTTCTCCAGGGGATCTCCTGGATCACCTGGGTCTCCCCCATTGCAGGCAGACTCTTTACCATCTGGGCCACCAGGAAGCTAGATGCTTCTCTGCTCATATGTCTTGGATGTGGCAGTGACTAAGTTTTTCTATGTCCTTGCTTCTTACAGCATGACCCAAGGATGGAACCCCAAAGCACAGGAGTCACTTGAGGTCTTGTTAAAACTGCAGAATCTGGGCTTAAATATTATAGAAAGACATAATCGGAACTTTCTATTTAACCGTAACTCAAGGTGATTTTTAAATCGGAATTCTGAGGAGCTGTTTTTCAGCCATAGCTTCCATCAGGCCTTTCTTTCTGGAGGATCTAGCTCTCCCTAAGCTCTGAAAACACCAGTCCCTCCCTTGCCTCTTCACCCCAGGGATAGCAACGGTTTCTCATTCTCACTACTCCCTTCCTGTTCCTATTCTTTGTGAATTTCTTTAACTTTACTTACACCACTGTAAATATCTCCTTCAATAAAGTCTCCTTTGAAATTTTGGTTTTCTCTGGGTATATGCCCAGAAATGGGATTAATGGGTCATATGATAATTCAGTTTTCACTTTTTAAGGATCCTCCATAGTTCATTGCAGCACTATTTACAGTGGAAGCAACCTAAATGACCATCAAAAGATGAATGGATAAAGAAGATGTGTGTGTGTGTGTGTGTGTGTGTGTGTGTGTGTGTGTGTGTGTAGTCACCGCCTACAAGTGCCAGCGCTGAGGCTGGCAGGGCCCCAGGAGAGGGAGGGGAGGGGAAGCTCTTAAGCAGTGGCGTGACCAGTTCCTGTTGCATTTGCTGGAGAACGTGGAAGACGTGCTGTATTTCTGGAAGCATTCCATGGTCCTGGATATTGGCGAGTGCCTGACCATCCCGGATGAGTTCTTGGAGCAGGAGAAGCTGACTGGGGCGTGGTGGAAGCAGCTGGTGGCGGACGCGGTGGCAGGTGCCATTCCCTGGAGAGGCATAGCCCCTCTGGACTGCCTCAAGGTCTTCATGCAGATCCACGCCTCCAAGACCAACCGGCTGAACATCCTGGGGGGCCTCCGTGGGGGAGCATGATCCAAGAGAGGGGCGTGCACTCCCTGTGGCACAGCAACGGGATTAACTTGCTCAAGATTGCACCTGAGTCAGCCATCAAGTTCATGGTCTATGAGCAGATCAAGCGGGCCATCCAGGGGCAACAGGAGACTGCACATGAAGGAGCGCTTCGTGGCTGGCTCCCTGGCTAGCGCCACATCCCAAACCATCATCTACCCCATGGAGGTGCTGAAGACATGGCTGACCCTTTGCCTGACGGGCCAGTAAAAGAGGCTGCTGGACTGTGAGTGGCGGATCCTGGAGTGAGAAGGGCCCCACGCCTTCTACAATAGCTTACCTGCCCATCGTTCTGGGCATCATCCTCCGTGGGCATCGACCTGGCCATCTAAGAGGAGACCCGTGTTCGATGCCTGGATTAGGAAGATCCCTTGGAGAAGGAAATGGCAACCCACTCCAGTATTCTCTCCTGGAGAATTCCATGGACAGAGGAGCCTGTCAGGCTACAGTCCATGGGGTTGCAAAAGGTCAGGACACAACTAAGCGACTCACACACACACACACACACACACACACACCAGTATCACTCAACCATAAAAGAATGAAATTGGGTCATTTGTAGAGACATGGATAGACCTAGAGAGTGTCATATAAAGTAAAATATGTCAGAAAGGGAAAAACAAATATTGTATATTAATGCATATGTGCAGATTCTAGAAAAAATTGTACCAATGATCCTGTTTGTGAGGTAGAAATAGAGACATGGATGTAGAGAACAACATGGACACTAAGCGGGGAAAGCATGTTTGGGATGATTTGGGAAATTGGGATTGATATATATACATTAATATGTATAAAAAAGATAACGAATGAGAACCTATTCTATAACACAAGGAACTCTCCTTAATACTCTGTAGTGACCTAAATGGAATGAAATCCAAAAAAGGGAGGATATATGTACACATATAGCTGATTAACTTTGTTGTACAGCAGTAACTAACACAACATCATAAAGCAATGATACCCTAAACCCAATAAAAATGTCTCTTTAAAGCCCCAGAAGTGGGTGCTTTCTTTTTCCTTCCAGGAACCTGGCTGGTCACCTCCCAATAAGTGGTCTTGGCAGTTGGGAGTTTCTCTCATTCTTCCTGAGGTTTTAAAATTCTGAATACATAAAACTTCACTTTGTCCATTCTGTCACACTTAGTCTCACACACTTGATTGACTTTTTTTGAAGTCTAATGTGGCTTGGTTGGTTTCTCTCTAGCTTTTGTTACTTCCAAGTCAGCATGGAATTACTCCTTGTGGACTGAAATTCTATACAGTTTAGACATTCCCCTTCAGGAGTCCTTTCTGGTGGATAAGTTGAAATTTACCATGCATACATTTTTTGTTTCGATAAAATATCCTACCTGATCCTTGTAATAAACTCACATTGTAAATACCGTTAAAGATGAAAAAACTGGGCGTTGCAGTGGCACTTCCGACTGTGGGAGCCTCGGCTTCCCAGTCGTCCGATGAGCCCGAGCAGCACCAGAAAAGTGCCACTGTAAGCCATGAGATGTCTGGTCTGAATTGGAAACCCTTTGTATATGGCGGCCTTGCCTCTATTGTTGCTGAGTTTGGAACTTTCCCTGTGGACCTGACCAAAACGCGACTTCAAGTTCAAGGCCAAAGTATTGATGTGCGCTTCAAAGAGATAAAATACCGAGGAAGGTTTCATGCCTTGTTCCGAATCTATAAAGAAGAAGGTGTATTGGCTCTGTATTCGGGAATTGCTCCTGCTTTACTAAGACAGGCATCATGTGGCACCATTAAAATTGGCATTTACCAGAGCTTGAAGAGATTATTTGTAGAACGTTTAGAAGGCCTGAGGCTGTTGCATAGTTGGGGACAGCTGGAGAGCTTTTCGATGAAACTCTTTTAATTAATATGATATGTGGGGTAGTGTCAGGAGTGATATCTTCTGCTATAGCCAATCCCACCGATGTGCTGAAGATTCGAATGCAGGCTCAAGGAAGCTTGTTCCAAGGCAGCATGATTGGTAGCTTCATTGATATATACCAACAAGAAGGTACCCGGGGTTTGTGGAGGGGTGTTGTCCCAACTGCTCAGCGGGCTGCCATCGTTGTGGGAGTAGAGCTACCAGTGTATGATATTACGAAGAAGCACTTGATATTGTCAGGGCTGATGGGAGACACAATCTTAACTCACTTTGTTTCCAGCTTTACATGTGGCTTGGCTGGGGCTCTGGCTTCCAAACCAGTTGAGGTGGTACGAACTCACATGATGAACCAGAGGGCAATTGTGGGACACGTGGACCTCTATAAGGGCACTTTGGATGGCATTTTAAAGATGTGGAAACACGAGGGCTTTTTTGCACTCTATAAAGGATTTTGGCCAAGCTGGCTTCGACTTGGACCCTGGAACATCATTTTTTTTATTAGATATGAGCAGCTCAAGAGGCTTCAAATCTAAGGACATGAGCCAAACCCTGCCAACCTTTCTACTCTTCTTTCCCCTTTTTTCTGTGTTCTAATGTATTTTGATCAAGTTGTGTTTACTGAACCATTGGTCTCCCAAGGCCCTTCTGGTGGAAGAATGATAGGATGGTTCAAAATTGCTCATGTGTTTGTGTTGCCATGTGAACTTTTCCCTGAGAGGTAGTATTAACATTGAGACTCTGGCCCCAGATTGGTATCTTCTGTGAAGATGGATACTGATGGATGATACTCAAAATGGCCTTCTCTTCAAATGTGGGTTAAATGTAGTTTGTTATCCCCAGACTTGGGCTTGAGCAAAAGGCATAGGCCAGGGCAGTTACTGCTATGTATGTTACAGACCTCAGTTCTCATTAAAGTATTTATTGACAGAAAAAAAAAAAAGATGAAAAAACTGACAAAGGGATTACATAACTTTTCCAAGATCACACAACTGGTATCTGGCACAGCTTTCTGATTTCGGAGGCCATTCTCTCAAAAGCATTATTGTCTGCTTATTTTTCTGCTGACTACTTCCAGAAAAATTTTCTCTGATGAAGTCTGCTAATTTTTGAGCAAAGATACTATTGTTCATCTTCAAAAATATACTAGATTCCTAATCATTCTAATAGTTTGAGCTATTAAACCCTATTCATGAACCTCACATTCACAGCCAGGCATTCATTCTGCTGGAGGTCTATTTCTCTCTTGAATGATGTACACTCTGCTCAGGACAACAAAGGCAATCCTAGATAGCCAAAAATGTGACTATAGATCAAACCAAATTTGTCCCCAGAAATTATGTCCTTGGCATGTCCTCAGGATTTGAAAGGATTCTGGAATCTCAAGGTAACCTCATAACTCATTCAATCATCCATGACTTTACATCTATTTGCCTATAGTCTTCTGTTAGAGGACCACCTCTTCTGGATGCTCACAAAGTTGTTGAATTTTTATAATTCTGACAGTCTGACATTCTCATGTTTACTAAGGTAGGATTAGGTTAAAGACTTTCAGGTATTGGAAGAATATTGTTTATTGCTCTGTCTATGGACTCTTCCAGGCAAGAATACTGAAGCCAACTGCCATTTCCTTCTCCAGGGGATCTTCTGAACCCAGGGATTGAATCAGAGTCTCTTTCACTTCCTGCACTATTTACAATAGTCTTAGGGTCTGAGAATACCCAGAAGCAGTACTGGATTGCATGAGCCTGTTGTTATTAAATACCATGTTTAACCATCAACACCAATGAAAGGGGTTCTAATTAATTAACACCAAAGATGTCACCCTTTCATACTGTTCATGGGATTCATTATTCATTGAAAGGACTGATTGCTAAAGTTGAAGCTCCAATACCTTGGCCACCCAACGAGAAGAGCCAACTCATTGAAATAGACTCTGAAGCTGGGAAAGATTGAGGGCAAAGGGAGAAGGGAGTGACAGCGAATGAGATGGTTGGAAGGCATCACCAACTCCATGGATATGAGTTTGAGCAAGTTCCAGGAGATAGTGAAGGACAGGGAAGCCTGGAATTAGGTCACATTAGGTCACAAAGAGTTGGACATGACTGAGAGATTGAACAAAAACAACAACAAATATCACCTAAGGAGATATCCTGATTGACCCAGTTTAAAGCAGAATACTTTGTACTTTTTTCACTTTTTGATATAAAATGTTTGAATTTCTTTTGGGTGCCAGAAACTATGCCAAGTACTTTCATAGGCATTTTCATATTTAGAACTAATCACAACTTGTGAAGTAGATAGTATTATTTTACAAATGTGAGAATTTAGGTTCTCTGTTTTTATAGGTCCAGTATATAATGATTAATTTTTAAGTAGATAAGATTTTTAGTTGGAGTTTCAATATCAAATTCTCAAAATGCCCAGGTATTGCTTTCTTCTCCAAAGCTCTAGATGTGTTTCCAAGGAGCAGCCATGTTTAAAAACAACTGGATTATGTGATGGACTTTTACTTTTATCTAGTTTGTTTCATTTTTTCTATTTCATATTCATTTCATTTATGTTTTCCAATTTTTCCATCTTTTTTGTTGTTGTTCTTTCTCAAGCCTGTATGAAGCATAGCAAAAAAGCTTTTGTGTGTATGTGTGTATATGTATATACACACACATATATATATAGCATGTATAATACATGTTAGAAAATTTATAAATTTTTCCTAGCTAAAATATTTATGACATTTTGATTCCACTTGTTTGACTTAGTGTGACTAGACGGCTAGATTTCTAATTTATATTTACTGAAAACTTTGATATACTTCCATGTATCTTGGCATCTAGTATTACTGCCAAAAGTCTAGAAAATTTATTATCTTAGTGATTTAAAAAAATTTGAATGAAGCTTGAAACTTCTAATACAATTCTGAGACTATAAGGACATACTATGTTGTAAAAAAATAGGAAATTTATAAATGAGACAGTATTATTAACTAAAGAACAGGTTTTGCACAAATTTCACAAAATTTTATGCTAGGAAATTGAGGTTTTCTAATGCAAAAGTGGTGTCGTGGTGTTGCAGAAGACTC